TCCTGGAACATCTTGGGCTCATGGGACATCAGGGTCTTCTGACTGTCTTCCTGGCCCCGGTCCACCTGGCCCCCCAGCCCCCCGGCGTCGCGCGGGGTCGCGAAGATGACCGCGCCCCGCGCGTCGCAGGGCGCGAAGCGAAGCGCGGTAGTAAGTAAGGCGCAGGCGCTGGGTGCATCGCAGACAAGGCCGATGAGGGGGGCCCCTGGAGGATGAGGACGAGGGGGAGGAGGAGGTGGAGGAGGAGGAGGAGGAGGAGGAGGAGGAGGAGGAGGCGGAGGTGGGTGGGGGGGGGGGGTGCGAGGAGGAGGAGGAGGAGGAGGAGGAGGAGGAGAAGCAGGAGAAGCAAGGGAAGCAGGAAGAGTTCGCGTGTCTGCCAGCTTGCTCGCGTCCCTCGCCATCTCTTTCGCACTCGATTTGAAGATGGGGGCCGTGCTGCGAAGTTCCTACCTATCCCGGATCCCGTGGTGATTTCGATTTCACGTTGGTTTCGATTCGAAAATCGCGCCTGGGGGGCCCCAGTTCATGTGGCGAAAACATATTGGGGGAGTCAATCGATCCAGGGGTCAGCTTTCGTGGTCGAGCACCCTCTGCAAGTCGGGGGGTTTTGCAATGGGCTGCGCAGTGGGACGCAGACGACGGAAGTGAGGGGAGGCAAGCAGCGCCTGGCCAAGCTGAGCGAGCTGGGCGGCGGCTGCCCGTCGCCGCGAGACTGGGCCTCCTGCGCCGCGCGCGCCGAGGGGCGGAGCCCGCTCTGGGGGATGGGGGTGAGGGGAGACAGGGTGGCGGGATGGCCGGGACCGGACAGGGGGAGTGGACGCGGGGAGGCAGGGCAGGGGGCTGGGCGGGCAAGGGAGGGGGGAGGGCAGGGGGGAAGGGCGGGGTGGCAAGGGGGGGGCGACGAGGAGGAGAGAAGGGACTTTCGGAAGAGCACGCCGCTCCTTCTGTCTCATTGCCCAGCGCACAAGAAGACGCTGATTAGTTAGATCATCTGATCTTTGGCGCCCATTGGTGGGCTTTCGGTGGGCGAAAGGCGCGCGGTCGAGGCCGCATCCAACGCCCCGCCCTCCTCCTCCTCCTCCTCCTCCTCCTCCTCCTCCTCCTCCTCCTCCTCCTCCCCCTCCTCCTCCTCCTCCTCCTCTGCCTCCTCCTCCTTCTCTGCCTCCTCTGCCTCTGCCTCAACTGCCTCCTCTGCCCGCCCTGCCTCCTCTGCCTGCTCTGCCCGCTCTGCCACTGCATCTGCCTTCCCCTCCGCGTGCTGGCGTTGGCCGCCAGGCCCCGAGCGGGGCCCTCCGCCAGAGTCCTGGGGCCGGCGTTTCGTCGACCGAAGGTCGAAGGAGTCTCGCAGCAGGGCGCCGGGGGCACCCGATATTTTGTTTCGCCCCAGGGCTAGGAGGATGGACCCATCCACGATGGGCGAGGATCCAGGATAGGATCAGAGTCAGAGGCGCAATGGTGAGATGATGAGTCTGAGACGGCATGAGAGGCGTGAGCGTGAGGTTGAATCAAATCAGAACCACAACCACAAACAATGAGAGCTCTGAGTCTCAGTAAGAGGAGGATGAGGAGAAGGAGGATGAGGAGAAGGAGGACGAGGAGGAGGACGAGGGGGAGGAGGGGGGGGAATGGGGGGAAATGAATGCGTTTTTGCGCGACGAACTCTGGGGTGTCTGCTTGGCAATTGGTTCCTGAGGGGCCTTGCCCACGGCGCGTGACCTGCCTGCCCCATGGCCCCGTGGCCTGCCTGCCCATGGTCCCTGCCCTTGCCCATGGCCCGTGGCCAAAGAGGTTCTGACATAGAAACAAGAGGCGAGAGCTCACCGCCTCCGTCCGCAGCCTTTGGTGGGCCAAGTGTTTGATTCAGCGGCGGTCCAGGATCGCCGATTCGCGCGTGTGTGCCCTCGTCCTTCTACTGCGCGCCTGCCAGGACAGTGCGCCGACGGCCATGGCCAGCGATGATGAGTCAGGGCTCTCCAACATGGGCGGCGATTCTGACGTCGAGGAGCTGCGTCCAGGAGGTGGCGATTCTGACGGCGAGTCCGACGAATCCCGCGGTGGCGGTGTCGAGCCGAATCTCAGCTGCAAGGGTTGTGGATGCACTAACAAGAGCTTCTGCCCCATCGCTCTGAAGAACGGCTCGGAGAAGATCATCCAGTGGGGCAAGTACTCCACGCAGAAAGGCCGCAGTAAGTCTGGGCCCCGGGTCCCGAGTGGCAGCTGGTGCGGCATATGCGTGTCGATCTGGCGGATTCGATTCAAGAAGAAGTGGGGCGGCAAAGACTCCAAGAAGTGTAAAATGACCATTGCGGCCAAGAAGCTGAAGGACCCTAACAACCGGAAGCAGTGGAAATCCGTCCGGAAGAACTACGTGAAGCAGCGCAGCAGTGGCAACCAACGCGTCAAGAACCTCAAGGAAACCGTCGAGAGCAAGAAAGAAACCTTCACAGATCTCCTGGAGCCCGAGAAGGAATTCTGGGAATTGGCTGAGTACATGGAAGAGTTCGGCGATCCAAAGACAAACAAGGCGAAAGTGTGCACAATCAAAAACAAGAAAGGCAAGGCGATCAAAGGTGTATACGTTCGGGTAGGGCGCCGGGGAGTATACAAAGTGAAGTCTGGCGTTCGTAACTCCTCCATGCGCACCAAGGTTCACGACGACGGTGAGCACGTTCTCGACGAGGAGCAGCTCGCTGAGGCGGAGGTTGAGGCCGAGGAGACGCTCCCCATGGATGACAAGAGCGCCCTCACCTACGACGAGACCAAGAAGCGGCGGCAGCTGGCCATGGACGAAGATTCACAGGATGGCGACGGCCCCGAGACAGTGTCTAGTGGCGGCGACTCCAGCGATTCCGATGACGACGGGGACAGCGACATGGGCTCCTCCAAAGACGAGTTCGACGAGGCCCCCCCCAAGAAGAAGGCCAAGGGGATCAAGGACAGTGCTGCTGCGCCAAGAAAGGGGAAGGCCTCGGGCTTCCGTGGTGAAGACGGTGACACGCCGGGCGCGGCCAGCTCGATCGCCAGCACGCCCGCCAAGCTCGGTCGCAAGGGGCCTGGGAGCGCCGCCAGCAGCGCAACCAAGCGGCCAATGGGGACCAAGGACGCAGCTGAGAAGGAGCATGCGCTTCTTCAACTAACATCAACACAGAGAGATAGGAAAACCGACCCGCTCAGCTTGGCCCGGGCGGCGTGTGAGGAAGCCAGGGGGTACTTCGGTGAGATCGCCTCCGCGTTCAGCACGGGCGAGTACGACAACGTCCAGGGCAGGGAGTACCAGAGGCTCACGCGCGGCTGGAAGGACAAGAAGGCGTCTGTGACCAAGCCGCTGAACCAGCTTTCGCAGAGCGGGAACAGAGAGGACCCAGGAGTTAATATTTAATTATGATTTGTCTTATGTCAGTCCAGGCTTGGGGGTGAAAGTGAAGGTGCTCTTGGGCTCGGCGTTTCCTTGGGGCTTGTCTCGAGGTGTCCTTGGAGGTGCCTTTGGGGTATCTTGGGGCTTGTCTTGGGCTTTCGGCTTGATTCGGATTTCCCTGGGAGTGCTCTTAGGCCAAGTACCCCGGACCCCCCTAAATCCTGTTGGCCAGCAAGGATGCGACTCTGCTGCTTCACGTGCGGACAGCGATCGGACACGTGGATCCGATCATGAATTTCTTGAAGGTCTTTGCGCCTCAGACGCTGTCCAAGACGGCGCCCTCGCTCTTGCTGGCGACGTGGAACGAGGTGGCGAGTCGAGCTCGGCCGTCGGCGGCTCAGGCGATAGCCATGGTTCAGCGGGCGATTGACGTCAAGTGTGACGAGGGGGACATCGACAGCGTTCTAGAGATGGTCGACCAGTCGAAGAGCATCGACGGCATCTCGATTGCCTTGGTGTCAGCAGGGGATGCCCGCGATAGGATCGTGAAGAACGCAGTTGCGATGCTCGTCGGCAAGACCTTCAAGGTGAACGTAGACAAGAAGGACCCCGAGGCTGTGAGCGAGGCCAAATCGAACGTGATTTCCCAGCTCAAGAAGCTCATGGACGCGCGCCGCACTGTCCTCTTCCCCGCCATCGATAGCCTGAACCTCATCGAGGCCATGATCGAGCCCCGGGCCAGCAGAGGGACGGTGTTGCAGGAGGCCATCGAGGCGTGGAACGCCAAGGATGGCGACCCCGTCGTCTCTGCCGCCTCGAACACCAAGCTGGGCCTTCTCTTCCTGAAGGACGCCGGCACCGCCCTTTCAGGCTTAAGGAAGGAGGAGGAGGAGGAGGAGGAGGAGGCGCATGGGCGAGGGAGGGGGAAGAGAAGCGAATGATGAGAAGGATATCCAGGAGGATAAGTCCGTGATAAGGATGAGGAGGAGGAGGACGACGACGAGACAGAGGATAATGATGAGGAGGGGGATGAGGAGGAGGAGGAGGAGGAGGAGGAGGAGGAGGAGGAGGAGGGACATTCGGAGGAGGGGGAGGGGCAGGAGAAAGCGTGGGATGCTGAGGCTGGTCGGAGAGAGGAGGGGGCAGGGGGGTGGCTCGGCTCCTGTAGCCCACCGGCGAGGCGGCATTGCCGGGGCCGCGGGCGGCCTGCGGTTGGGGGGAGTTCCTCCGTGATATGCCGTGCCCCCTCCCTCCACCTCCCTCCCCCTCTTCTATCTCCCCCCTCCCCCTCCCCTCTTCCCCCTCCCACCCCCTCCTCCCCCTCCTCCTCTTCCTTCCTCCCCCCCCTCCTCCTCGTCCTTCGTCCTCATCCTCCTCCTGCTCTCTCTTCCTCTCTCCTCTCTCTCTCCTCCTCTCCTCCTCCTCTCCCCCCTCCTCCTCCTTCTCCATCCTACTCCTCCTCCTCCTCCTCCTCCATCCTCCTCCTCCTCCTGTCCTCCCCCTCCTCCTCCTCCTCCTCCCTCCCTCCTCCTCAATCATCCTCCTCCTCTTTGTGTTGATCCCCCGTTGTCAATCGTCCGTCGTCGTCCGTCCACCCGTCCCCCCCTGCCTCGGAGGCAGACTGGCTTGCGACTCCATCGCGAAGGACCTCCTCGAGATTAGGGAGCTGCTCGACTCCGATAAGCTCGCGATCCCCATGGCCAGCTACGCTGCGCGCGTCGAGGGCCATCTCACGTTTTCCAGCGCCGACTGCGACTTCGGCGAGAAGCTCAAGTTGATCAGAGCTGTCAGTGTCAAGCTCTGCTCAACGCTCCGCCAGGCGCGCGATGCTGGAATGGGTGCTCCAGACAACCTGTGCTCTATCGGTGACAAGGTCTCGAATGTTCTCACGAGCATGGCCCACTTCTTAATCTACCGCTTCGTCGCCATGATGACGATTGACGGGCTGTCGTTGTCCTGGGAGACCGTGGTCGATGAATTGTCCACCTTCCGAGCCGTCCGGAACGAGATATTGGATAAGGTTGGGTCTTATTTCAAGCCGAAAGAAGATGCTCCGCCAGTCGTCGCACTACCGTTGGCGACCGAATTGCGCCCATTGGCCTCCTTCGCAGCGACGTGGAAGCAGACGGTCAACGATGAGCCTTTCTCGGCCACCAACATCATGGACCAGAGCCCTGTGGCCACTACGGCGTTCTACCGCGAGGTCGGGCTCAGCTTGGCGGGCGAGGTGAAATCAGACTCTGGCACCGAAAACGCCCACCGCAGGCCTCGGGAAAATGGGCGGGCAGGGGGTGGTAGGGGGTTCGGCGACGACGATGCGATGACCCGTCAAGGCCTCTAGCAGGCCAAAGCAAGTCAACAATATCCGCTTGCCTCAACCACCCCTGGCCCCGCCGCATTCCCCCGTGAAGCTCGGGTGGGCACTTTCAGGGCCGATCTTCGGAATTGACCAGTATCTTCGATTTCGTGAAGGATGCCTTGGAGCGCTTTCCCGAGAGCCAGACCGAGTCGTCCTCCCGGGTGTGCGACGCCACCAGGGAGGGAATCGAGCTCGCCAACGCCTGGACCAAGCACGTCAGGGAGCTGATGGAGAATATGAACAAGCTGAAGGCCAATGCCATCTCTTACATGACTGACTTGCTGAACCGCAGCGGCCCGGAGAGCAACTCGGCCATAACCTTCGGAGATATCAAGGCGCTCTTTCAGGAGACTGGCGAGTTGAACGAGGATATCCTGACAAAGTTGCGCCTTGTTAGCGAGATTGCGGCGGTCGTGCAGTGGTTCGACGACATGCTCGGCATCGCGCAGACTCTCAACGGTCTTGGGGCGCCCACGGCAGATACCAAGGTCATTGAGGGCGCCTCGAGCACCTGCATGAAGATGGTGCCTATTCTGCCCAATCTGTTGAAATGGATCGATGCCGAGAAGGCGTTGCCAAGCGGGGCCGAGGACCTCGACAGCGCGAGGAACTACTTCAAAGTGACGAGCTCGATGCTGAAGGACATCAAGAACGTGCAGGAGCAGCTCAGCTCTGAGTCCGAGGCCCAGCAGATCCTCGTGAACGCTGGCGTGTTCCAGGGCGTGGTTGTGAAGAAGACAACTGAGTGGATGGGCCCCCACCTGGCCACTTGGGGCGAGCTGGCCGACAGCGTGAAGAAGTTCGTGATCGACGTGAAGGAGTTCAAAAAATGGGACGACGATCGCATGAAGGAGTTCAGCGAGTTTCCTGGCCGGGTCGAGCTGAAGGAAGCAGTGAAGACCATCGGCACGACGATCGTGCCGCTGCTCCTGTCGTGGATCGCCGCGTTCAAGGGCACGGACGTCTCCGTCAACGAGGCCGAGCTGCTGCAGGACAAGGTCGCCGCGGTGAGGAACAAGGGCCGGCTGCAGATTGGGGTCCGCGGCGCGGTGGTCATCGTGTTGGAGGGTTCCAAATCCAAGGCGGCGGCCTACGAGAACGATCTCAAAACCAAGCTGAAGGTGCGGCCGGCGGTCCCCAAGGTGGTGAAGGACCGCCTGACGGCCCTCGCGCTCAAGGCCGCGAGCGTGGACGAGGGGGCCGCCGCCGCGCCGCACCCTGACGAGGTGGACTGAGGCGGGCCTTGCGCCTCCTTTTTCTCCTCCTCCTCCTTCTCATCAATTTCCTTCGGTTGCTGCCCCTCCTCCCCCCCTTGCCCAGGAGAAGCCAGCAGGGGGATAGGGGGATGAGAAGGTGGGGGAGGAGGAGGAGGAGTAGGAGAGGGAGGAGGAGGAGGAGGAGGAGGAGGAGGAGGAGGAGGAGGAGGAGGAGGAGGAGGAGGAGGAGGAGGAGGAGGAGGAGGAGAGGAGGAGGGGGAGGAGGAGGAGGAGGAGGAGGAGGACGAGGAGGAGGAGGCAGAGGAGGAGGAGGAGGAGGAGCTTTTGCTACAAGAAGCTGGCCAGGGCTTTTATGTTTCCAGGATCCCAGGTCTCAGGATTCAAGGGTTCTCGGAGTTCGGGACCTCGCGATTCCTGGAGTTCGGGGCCTCCGACTTTCCAGCTTCTAGCTCCACCTCATCCTCCTCTCCTCCCTCCTCCTCCTCCTCCTCGTCCTCCTCCCCCCCCTCCTCGCCATTATTCTCCTCGAGTGGCTTGCTGCAGGGTTGCTCCCTCTTCCCTCTCTGTATAGCGAGAGAGAGAGAGAGAGAGAAGGATAGAGAGAGAGAGAGAGAGAGAGAGAGAGAGAGAGAGAGAGAGAGAGAGAGAGAGAGAGAGAGAGAGAGAGAGAGAGAGAGAGAGAGAGAGCTGAAGGGTCCGCCGACACAAAACTTCCCTATCATTGGTTCGGACCTCGCGCCAGGGCCCTGGGTCCGCGACCCTATTATTTTTTTATGTTTCAGGCCCCGCGCCTGCGCCCCAGCGCGGCCCTGGGCCCTGCGCCGTCGGCGCGCGAGTTCAAATTGAAGGCGGTGCGCGGGCACCTCCTCGTACCGACATTCGGAAAGACTCCGCCCTCCTCCTCCTCCTCTTCGTCCTCCCTCCTCCTCCTCACCCTCCTCATCTTCCCCCCCTCTCCCTCATCCACCTCCGGGCGCTCGTCGGGGCACTGCTGGTGGACCAGCAGCGGGGCGAGGCTCGGTGACAGAGCCTCGGTAGTTCGATTGAACAAAAAACGAAAAAAAAAAACTGAGAAAACAAAGGGGGAGGCTCAAACAATGAGGAGAAGGAGGAGGATGGTTCCGTTTTGCGCCAGCAGTGCCAACCCTGAAGGACGTCGATGGCGACAGAGGAGGAAGGGGGGGGAGGAGGAGGAGGAGGAGGAGGAGGAGGAGGAGGAGGAGGAGGAGAGGAGGAGGAGGAGGAGGAGGAGGAGGAGGCGAGGAGGAGGAGGAGACGGAGGAGGAAGAGGAGGGGGGAGGAGGAGGAGGAGGAGGAGGAGGAGGAGGAGGAGGAGGGAGACGGAGGAGGAGGTGGTGGAGGAGGAGGAGGAGGAGGAGGAGGAGGGAGGACTCCAGGAGGACAGTGCCGCGCAGAGACTGTCGGTGAGCGGACGGGCCTCGTTTCCAGCCGCTGCTGCGACCCTGAAGGGACGCCGACGACGACGAAAGAGGAGGAGCAGGATCAGGAGGAGGAGGAGGAAGAGGAGGAGGGGGAGGATGAGGAGGAGAAGGTAGAGTGGGGTGAAAAGTAACAGGAGGAGAAGGAGGAGGAGGAGGAAGAGGAGGAAGAGGAGGAGGAGGAGGATGAGGACGAGGATGAGGAGGAGGAGGAGGAGGGGGAGGAGGGGGAGGAGGGGGATGGGGGAGGAGGAGGAGGAGGAGGAGGAGGAGGAGGAGGAAGACCCCCCCCAGCCGGCCTTGAGAGGGCGTGGCGGTGCGCCAGGGAGGGCTGCCGCGGGTGCCGGAGCCGTTGCCCAGCGGCGGCGGTCGTTTCTCGTCCTCGTCCTCGTCCTCGTCCTCTTCGTCGTGGCCCCCTCCTCGTCCTCGTCCTCGGCGTCGATGCTGAGAGGCGAGCTCTGCACAAGTGGCGACGACGGCGGCGACGACGTCGTCCACGACGAGGACAACGAAGAGAACGACGACAACGATGACGACAATGAGGACGACGACGAGGGCGGCGAGGCGACAACAATGAGACGACAACGACGGACATAGACGGTTAGAGGTTAGAGGAAGGCGAAAGGGAGAAGGGAAGGGAGCGAAAGAGAAAGGGTGAGGGGCAGCTGCAGCGAGCGCCACTCGCTTGCCGGGCAGATTTCGCTCATTGGGCTGAGCTGACTCTCCGAACATATTCGACTGTTTGCGAAATCTTCATGGGAGTTTTGTCATTTATGAAGCTAGGGCGCACTGCGTATTTCGAGTTTCGTATGTGTTGAAATGCTGTTGTTTTGTGTTTATAATAAGCCCGTTAAGGTGCCGATCGAACGTTGCGAGATTTCCCACGTGGCGGTAGTGTGCCGATCTGGGTTTCGGGATCAGGGGCGCGGGGATTTGATCGGCGACAGTGTTAAAAGGAGAAATAAGTAGATAAGGTTTGTGTATATGAAAATCTATGGTAATATACAAACAACTGTATACTATATAGTCTATACTGTATGCGTACAGTTAGTGACGTCTGGTTGTATAGACATATAACATTTGTATATATTTATGTAGATATATTCATTCACATATGTACACACATATGTAAGCTGGGGACATCTATAAGGAATGCGACATGTACATTTACAGTTACACATTTTTATATACACATAATTGTACATACAAGTCTGCATTGGCGCTTCGCGCCATGCACCTTGGTCCTTCACATCTAAGATGCAGGGATAACGAACGAGAGGCAGATCAACCAAAACGGCGATCGCTTTTGGTTGCAGTTTTCGCCATCACCGTTATCATATTGTTGTTCCTTATCCTTCCCTCAGGTGTCCTCCTCCCCTTTCTCTTCCTATTCCCTGTTCTCGTCTCGTTGCCCCGCGAACCGTTCCCCGGCCTTCTCAAGTTTGTTTGCGGAGGCTCTTCCGAGGCGAGCTTCTGGAGGACCACGCGAAAGCTTTTCAAGGGCTCCTTGGGCGTTGGGGGCATCCGTGGCGCCTTTTGGCGGCTCCTGGGTGTTTCCTCGGGCCGCCATGCCGCGAACCGTGGTCTTTGGTCACGGCTTGAACGCCTCCGGAGGGCGTCTTCAGGCAATTTCGGGCCGTCATGAGGCCTTTGTGGGCAGTTTCTGAGCCCGCTGGGGCCGTCTTGGGGCTCTCTTGGAGCTTTTTCTGGTCGTCTTGGAGCGGCTTTCGGTTCTTCTTGGGCGTTCTCGGACGCCCGGGGGCGCCGCTGAAGGCCACCGAGCGCGTTCCACTACTCGCACAGTGCCTACTCGCAAACGTCCGAAAAAGACATGTCCGCATCAATGTAGTTTATCGTAGATCCTCCAGGGGGGATCCAGGCCATTTGCGAGTAGGAACTTTGCGAGTAGTGGAACGCGCTCGTCTAATCTTAGACCGTCTTGGGGGTCTCTTGGGACCGCCGTCGACGCGTTTTCACGGCTTGGCAGGGACTTCAGAGGCCCAGAAAATTTCGCGGGACCCTTTGAGGGGCGCCCCAGGCGCCGGGTGTCCCGCGGACGCCCCCAGAACAATAGGAATGTAGGAAAAGGACGAGAAAGAGAGAGAGAGAGAGAGACAGAGAGATAAGAGAGAGAGAGAGAGAGAGATAAATAGATAGAGAGATAAACAAACAGAGACAGAGAGAGAGATAGCGAGATCGAGAGAGGGAGAGTTAGAGACAGAGAGAGAGAGAGAGAGCGAGAGAAAGAGAGAAAGAGATAATAAAAAATGGCAACCTCGAGAGAGAGAGAGAGAGAGAGATGAACATTCATCGAGAACAGAGGAGACAGCGAATGTCGAGATCAGCTCAGTCCCAATGGGGGTAGGTGGTAGTATATCGAAGAGGCTTACGGTCCGATGGTGAACCACTGCCGCCGTCTGGCAAATTTCTGGCCAATCTATGTTATTATGTGTTCCCCGAGCCGTTGTGGACCCCGTTTGGGCAACACTTGCTTGGGAGAGGAAGGGGAAGGAGGAGGAAAGGGAGAAAATGAAGGGCAAGGAGGAGGAGGAAGTTGAGGAGGAGGAGGGCGATGATGAAGAGGAAGAGGAGGAGGAGGAGGAGGAGGAAGAGGAGGACGAGGCGGAGGAGAAGGAGGAGGAGGAAGAAGAGGAGGAGTGCTCTTTGATGCCATCTTAGGGCCTCCTGCGGGCTTTCTGGGAGCCTCTTTTGGGGGCCTCTTGGATTTCAGAGGCAGTCTTAGGGGGCCTGTCTGGGCAGTCGTGGGTCCCTCTTCGGGCGCTTTAGGAGGCAGTCTTGGAAGTCTGTGTGGCCGTCTTGGGGCCGTTTTGAGGTCCTCCTTGGCCGTCTTGCGGGCGGATGGGAGGCCTCTTGGGCCGTCGTGGGGCGATATTGGGGGCTTCCTGGGCCGTCTTGGAGCGTCGTTAGCCCGAAAAGGCGAACAAAAAGGCAATCATCATGAACATGCTTTTGCGGAATTAATGTTTTCGCCTCCTGGAAATCCTCTGGGGCGCCTCCTTGCGCCGTCTGGAGGGCATCTTGGACCGTCTTGGGGTCGTCGTTGGCTGTCTTGGAGGCCATCTTGGGTCTCCTTGGGCTATCTTTGCTGTCTTGGAGGTGTCTTTGGATGGACCGCCTTGGAGGCTGTCCCGGCAGTCTTACTTAGAGGGCTGCGCTGTAATAGTTCTCGCAGACAGCCGACGGTATGTTGGTTCTCCGTGTGGCTGGCGGGCGGGAAGCTCAAAACATGCCCGCCACCGCTTACGTTGGCGTGCTAAGATTTTGGCGTGATCGGCGTTTTTCGTTTGACTGGAGGCCACATGGGTGTTTGACGTGCTAAGATTGTTGATGTTTTGTGCCTTGTTGATGGTTCCCCCGTCAGCTTCCCGCGAGAACTTTCACGACGCCCGCTTCCAAGACGTCCAAGATAGCCTCCAAGATGGCCAAGGTGGCTTCAGATGGGCCTCCAAAGCAGCAGAGATGGCCCCAAGACAGCAAGGATGGCCTCCAAGACTGCCAAATACCAATCCACGACGGCCCAACACTCATTCCAGACGGCGCAAGGAGGCC